TCTTGCTGGGCAGGGCGGAGTACACAGGCAGGATGATCAGCTCGGGGACGTCAGGGCCCAGTGACTTCATCCTCTCATACAGGATCTCACAGGCCGTGTCGATCTCTTCCTGCCCGGTCAGGAAGACCAGGATGTCACCTTCTTCAGCAGCCCGAAGAGCACGTCAGTATGGATCGTCCGTTCGTGCGCCTCGTCCAGCATGATGATGGCATACTGTGTCAGGTCGGGGTCGATCAGGCACTCGCCCAGCAGCATGCCATCCATCATGTACTTGATGACGGTCTCGGGGCTGGTACAGTCCTCGAAACGGATGGTGTAGCCCACCTCCTGCCCCAGGCAGCAGCCGAACTCCTCGGACACCCGCTTGGCCACGGACATGGAGGCCAGGCGCCGGGGCTGGATGCAGCCGATCTTGCCCCGGGATGTGTAGCCAGCCTCGGCCAGGTACTGGGCCACAAGATCTGTGTGGTCTTCCCGGACCCGGTCTCGCCAATGACGATGAGGATCTGGTTGTCGTGGACGGCCTGAAGGCGTAGGAGATCCGGTCACTCACAGCCGCCGTGGACTCGGGAGAGCAGGCAGGGACGAGGATGGGGACCCGGACGCCGACGCTGACGCAGACTCCGACGCAGACCTCAATTTAGTTTCCTAAGGCCAGTTTTTGCTCTGCCTTCTTCGGAGAGACTTGTACGTGCCTTCCCGCTCCCTGGACTGTTCTCCTAGCCCTGGTGAACTGGGAAGTACAGGCCCTGAAGGTTCGGTTTGAGGGCTCCCATCAAGGGTAAAACCAGCTTGGACAGGGACTCCTCCAGCTTCTGGACCTGGTTCAGCAGCAAGAGCATCGCCACCGCGAAAGCCACCACCGCCAGCAGCTGCAACTTGGGCGGCATCATAATCCTAAGGAGCCCCATGAAACTCGCCACTCGGGATCAAGACATACCGCGGGGGGCGGGGAGCGGGCCCCCGGAGGCGAGGGAGACGCCGGGAGGAGCCCACCGGGCCGGAGAGCGGCGCGGAGAGCGCGGCTGGGAGGACGCTCCGCAGCGACCCCCTTCTCGCCGCTCCGGTCCCCCGCCCCCAGGCAGCAGCGCCAGCGCCTCCGGTGCGGCTTCCCCTCAGCCGGCTGAGCGGCCGCCCCTCCAGAAGCCCGCGCAGCAACAGCGCGGAGCTGCGGCCGGGTTCTCGCCTGCCTCTGCTGCTTCAGTCCCCGACCTCCGCGCCCGCCAGCCTGCCTGCCTCCCTCTTTCTCCTTTCCCTCCCTCCAGGCTCTCGGCCGCGCGCTCCTCTGATTTTTAATGATTCATTCCTTCTACTTTGCCTTTAGTGGCTCTACAGTATTTATCATATTTCCTCAATTTAGTGAAAACTGCTTTGTTGCTCTCAATCTATACAGAAACAATAAAACCTAACACAACTGAAAATTTCTTCCATTTTCCATATTCCAGTAAAAACTCTTCTGTGAGGTATTGTGGTTGTTCCAAAAACTGAAACCAGAAGTTCAGTCTCAGTAAGGGAGACCAAAGATTGCAAATGCCTTGTTACCAAAATAGAAGCAAAGAGAGCCTAGCTGTGAAAAGCACAGGCTTTTCACAGGCCAGGAGGGATTTGGGCAGAGGAGATGTCAAAGTGCTCGAGCGGGAGGGACTCCTTCAGGCAGAGGGGGACTTTCGTACTATCCCAGACAAACCTCTTGTCTGCACCATGGGGCTGATGATCCCTTCTATTGTCCTCATGGAATCATCCCAAAAATTATATGGCACACTGTGTGTTTCTGTGTCACATAGTATGAAATGCTACTCCTGCGAATCCTGATGGGAGTTCAACCTGATGTTGACACTCAGTGCTCACTGGAAACTCTTATCTATTTGCCTGGCTTTGGGGGGCTGACAGAATTGGCTCTATTTATACTCTTTTACAATGAAGTTTGGAGAGAACTGAATCAATACCTGTTTACAGGACAGAACATTGGCTAACTAGGCCTTAGCTAACTGGTGCTTCTATTACTATAGCCACAGCAATTGGTACAAGGATGAAAATGTGACTACCCATTAGCCTCAGGACTTTTTCTTCAAACTGTAGAAAAGGGAAGATTCATTTCCCAAGACTCAGAATTTGGGGGATGCAAGCTGAGAGAGTGGCAGCCATTTTGCCACTGTGAGGGAGAGATTAAAAATGCAATCAGCTCAGAGGAGAGCAGAAAGGATAGATGGAAAAGACTGGGTTCAAATATCATTGAGCTGCTGTATCTATTAATGTCTGAAACTGTATTTGCTTCTAGCCCTCTCAACTGTATGAGTAAATAGATCTCCTTTTTTGCCTGAACCCATTTAATGAGATGTTTTCTCTTATTTGCAGCTGAAAAGTCTTCACTTACATAAATCTTATGCTTGATAGGTCTCTTTCAGACAGCTCCAAATTCTATCATAAGATCCTTACCCAACAAGCAAAATATTTTATTATGGCTTAAAGATTGTAAATTTAAAGATTTTCCTTGTGTTCCAAATCTAATTTTCAATCCTGTTAAGATCAATTGTAATAGACAACTAAGAGTGCCCAAGGGAACAAATAGGCTCTCATATCCTCCTGAGACGTTTTTATTAATTAATACTGAGTTTTCTGCCCCCAGATCTGGGCTCATAGAGAGGAGAGCTGAGCTCTTCCTGACATGGTTTGAAGTGAGTGTAAGCAAGGACTTCCCTCTGGTGTCTCATCATTCAAACAGAAGCCATTTCTACTTGGAACACATTGCAGGCAAATGCTATATAGATTGGCTCAGTAGATTCCTATCAATTTCTTCTGACCTTGTTTCTTTTTTTTCAGATCACAGTCAGGCATCAGCTGCACCAGGAAGAACTCAGGAATGTGTTATGCTCATGGGCTTGTTTCAACTTTAAGTCACGTCTAGTGCTTAGGATCCATGCCACCCATTCTCAAATGCCTATATTAGGTGAAAAAGTAACCTACCATGCAGAAGTCTCCTGTCTGCAGCTTCTGCTCACATCATGAAATGTAATGGAGATAATCCACCGCTGCATTATGTCTGACAATCGTCCTCTCAATTTTTATTGACATGATTGAATAGAGCTGATCGTACAGTTCTACTACTCATTTTGTGTCATTAGGTTTTATTCCTGGTGCAGTCCATAAGCATCATATTATCACTTAAAACAAAGCACAATGTCATGCTTGCTTCAAACTCATCAAACTTGTGAAAACAAGCATTATCCTTTGTTGTAGAAATGAGATGTAATGAAAGAGCTCCAACCTGTTTTGAATCTCAGCTACACTATTTTATAGGGTTGTTTTATCTCTTTAAGCCTCTACTTCCTTAACTACAAAACATATTTTACAATATTTATAGAGGACCTACTATATATTCTGGCCCCTTGAGACTAAATCAGGGAATGTGCTTGCTACTGGGGCACAAGCCTATAATCCCAGTACTTGGGAGTCTGAGGCAGGAGGATTGCCCCAAGTTCGAGGCAAGCCTGGGTTATATAGTGAGTTCAAGTCCAGTCTGAATTATATAGGAAAATCCTGTCTCAAAAAGGAAAAGACACGGAAATTAGTCAGGGCATAAAATAAAACCTCCTGTCCTATATGAGTTTAGAGAAAATATATTAAATAAATAAAGCATAAATTTTGACATAACTTCAAAAAAATTTTTTACACAAAGTGAAAAATAAAAATAAAACACTAAAAAGATAAGCGAGGTTTTAAAAATCACCTCAGCAGCCACCATAGTAATAATGTTTCTTGCAAAAATCATTGATAGATGCTAAGACTAGTGACAGTTTGAAACGAGACATTTATACAGCATCAGCGTGTTTTCCTATGGGATACCAACTAATTAAAAAGAGCAAATGAGTCATTTTACACTGAAGAAAGCTAGGAGAATCCACTTTAACTAACAGATCAAAGATAACATCAGCCATGACATAAAAATGTAGATGTTATATGCCTCCTAATATGAGACACTGAGAAAGCCACAAAAATGTCTTCTGCAGTATTTCTGTAAAAAATGTATAACCTGTATCCAATCAGAAAAACCCGAACTGAGGGGCACTCCAGAAAATAACTAATATAGAAGGTAACTAATAACTAATATAGAAGGTAAAATGGATATAGGAATGAGCTGAATGACAGCAAGTGGAACCTTCTGTAATAACTATCTTGAACTCACTAAATGTAAAGCATGAGGAAACAAAAAGAGATAGTGCAAGGAATGTGGGATGTGATTATCCCACATTAAATGGATGCACTTTGAGACCATAGTGCTAAGTGAAATAAATCAGACTAAGTTAAACATCACATGGTTTCTCTTGTATTAGAAGCCCGAAATATAAATAATTTAAAGAGTGAAATTAAGGATAGATGAAAGGAGTCAGAGAGGTAGACTTTGTGGGGATCTGTGAAGGGCAGGTATGAGAGGATGAGGAAAGGAAGAAGTAAAACTGATTGAGATGTTATATGTACATGTACCAGTTCCTCAAAATGAATGTCATTTATTATGTATCACAAACATGTTAATAATAAAAAATTATAGAAAAGATGAGGTTTAAGAGAAATAACAGTCAAAGGCACTACCTAACCCTAGATGGGATCTTGCATCCAAAAAAACATTTTAAACAACTAGAAATTTTTGAAAATATTTTGAAACAATTGGAAAAATCTAAATCTAGCTTTGTATATTAGATGATTGTATGCAATTGGATGACTCTTGTGCCTCATGATAGTTCTATGATTATATAGGAGATTTTCCTTATCTATAGGGCATGTCTGCTGAAGTATTTAACAATGAAGTGGCATAATTTCTACAATGGACTATCAAATAGCACAGAAAATTTTGGACAGTAAGAGAGAAAGTGAGACAGAGAGAGTTAATAGGACTATATTAATAATCATTTAATCTAGATGAAGGGTATATGAGTGTTTACTATTGTTTCAACTTCTTGTATAGCATTTTCATAAAAAGAACAATGAGCAAGAATAATATGTCACTGGGGAAGCCAGGATGTGCTAAGAAGATGAGTGGATCTGCAGAAGCTACCTAGAGCCTGAGTCTGAATATTGTTAAAATGACCACACCAAACAAGACACCTCCTGGTGCTGATCCTAAGCAGTTGGAAAGAACTGGGACAGTAAGGGAAATTGGGTCACAAGCTGTTTGGTCACTCTCATCTTGTGAATCAGTATTTGGAGTGGATCAGTTACAAGATGACAATTTAGAAACTTACTGGCAATCAGAAAGCTCCCAGCCTCATTTGCTGAATATTCAGTTCAGAAGAAAAACAACAGCGAAGACATTATGTATTTATTCAGACTACAAGCCTGATGAAAACTACACACCAAGCAAGATCTCAGTCAGAGTAGGAAATAATTTTCATAATCTTCAAGAAATTCAGCAACTTGAATTGGTGGAACCAAGTAGCTGGTTTCACGTTCCCTTAACTGATAACCACAAGAAGCCAATGCACACATTTATGATACAGATTGCTGTTCTAGCCAATCACCAGAATGAAACAGACAACCACATGAGACAGATTAAAATATACACACCAGTGGAAGAGAGCTCTATTGGTAAATTTCCTAGGTGTACAACTATTGATTTTATCATGTATCATTCAATAAGGTGACTTTAAAATGGAATAAAAATGATTAAATATGTTTTATTCTCATTAGATATTGATATAATCTGATATAAATATCTTCACTGAAAAAATATCAGGTATTTTGCAATTTTATATATGTTTAAAAGTATTTTACTTTGATAAATAAATCAATTTGGGGTCACATTGTCTGTTTTCTTTAACATATGATAAAGCTCACATATTTTGTATTATTAAAGGAAATTTGAAGTCAATCATATTTTCTTGTATTAAAAGAAAGCTAGTTGAACTGAAAACTTTAAGTTGTACACAAAGTGGTTTTTATTTTTTATTTTTTATATGTACGTGTTCATAGTACATAATGATTACATTCCTCCTGGGGAGTTGATGTATATATACAACACACCTTAATTCTTTTATTCATCCCCTTCCCCTCAACCCCCCCCCCCCACAGCTGCCCTTGGTCATCTCTTGGTCTCCTTTCATTCTGCAAAGGATCTATTTTCCTTCTTCCTATTATGTATCTTTTATTTTGCTCTTTATTTATATGTTGTATTTCCTATATAAGAGAAATCATATATTTAGGCTTGTGTGTCTGATTTATTTCATTTAGTATTATTTTTAAATGTTGGATCTTTTTAAACATTGCATCTTTTCAAATTGAATTTAACATTGTGGGTCTGATAAGAACCCATCTGATTGTGGGGATATAATTAATTATCTCGTATTTACTTCCTTGAAATGCTTACAACCCTAGGGTTGTGTACATCCTGCCAATATCATGTTGGATATTGCTAGATCATCTGTGGTTTATCTCAATTCTAGTGACAGAGTTAGTTTCAAATTTGTCCCTGACATCTTAGCATTCCCTGGGTATAATATATCCTGTAAAAATTTATAAATATATGAAATTATTCTTTTTCAAAGATTTAAAATGAATGGTTTAAAATCAATAGTTGATTCCATATAATTTTTCCTCCCCATATCCATTCCTTTGTGGGGGGGTTATTGAGCCACAGAACTTCCTCAAAGTCACTGGAAAAGATTGCTTGGTGATTCATGCACTGCTGGGTATACACAGTCTGAAATAGGAACGTTTAAAAAAAATAGTGTGTTTGTTTTATTCTTCAGAATACTATTTCAATACTGTTGAAAATTTTTTTTTACTTTTTCACTCATCAAAAATTTTGCTCTTCTTCCTATGAGCTCCAGAAAGAGTTTAATTTTTTTGTTTTGTTCTCTCTGAAGTAAAAAACATGGTAGTTGATTTATAGTGTCAGCAAAAGTTGGTAGTCAAAACATATTTGAAATCATCAAATTGAATAGAGATAGATGTGGAATGTTGGGCAGCATGGAAGAAAGGATGGAAGAAAAACATATGTAGTGAAATAAATAGGACACACATGTGTAAATACTGAATAGTTTCTCTGGTGTGAGAAACTGAAAGTGTAAATAAGGACTAAAAAGTATAATAGGTAATGTGAAATAGGAAGAAAAGGAGCAAAGGGGAAGGGGAAGTGGGAGGGGTAGGGGAAAGGAAAGAAGGGAATGGGATTAATATGAGAGAATGGAAAAATGGGAACATAGTCTTTGTAAATAGGGAGGGATGGAGGGGTTGAAGGGAGGGCTGGGCAAGGGTGAAAAATAAGAACCAAGAGAGA